GTCGTTCAGTGAGCCCCGGAGAGATGAAATTCAAAGCATGATTTCATAGATGATGTTGCTGATTACTCAATTCAAGAACCAGCAAGGACATCATTTGCAGAGTAGGTCATGGAGCTGGCTGGTGACTACAAGCGGAAAAGTGGGTCACCCTCCAGCCTAAAAGGGGTCATTTCTGAAGCACTACAAAAGCCCTGCGTGGAGCACTGTTTTATAGCCATGGGTTGCTGAGAAACATATAGTGCAGAAAAGAACAGCCCACCAGAAGGTTGAGTCACTGAACCGTGTGCAAGAGTGCGTCATTCGGAAGGCAGAGACATACTACAAAAGAGCACTAACACTGAGAAATAGCAAAGAATCACTAGATAGAAATGTCTGCTATGGTCTTCGCAGGCATCTTGACCCTAGAGACAGCATCCCTTTTCAGAAAGAGGTCCAGCACATCTGAGGACACTGACAACAAATAGGGAGTGTTCACATCGTGTATGCTGGCATTAGTGAAAGACAACATGAGGTAATTTTAGCATTTAATTTAGCATTTGAGGTTCACCATTTTGTACTCATCCCAGTGTTACTTACCTTATTCTCCCTCCGTGTTGCCTACAAGGGTTCTTTCTAATACAAACATCTAGCATATATGAACATCTGGAATTTCTTTGGGTCTGCCACTTACAACCATTATCTCCATGTGGCTTACAAATGGAAACAAAATTCCCAGCTAGCATAAAAATTTATCCTCAAAACTCTTTAATCTTTTTCCAGTTGGTAAAAGTCAATACTCCAAAATTATAGAACTTCTTGAAGATGTAAATAAATAAATAAATAAATAAATAAATAAATATAAATGAGATGAGATCCAAGTTGTCTCTCATCTGTACATATTGCTTCCCTTACTTGTGTCACATGGTGTTTGTGGGACAAAACAAATAGAAAAACAAAGCACTGACCTCCATCAGTCCTTCTTCAAGACAGATGTTAATATTAGTATTCTAGCATTAGGATAAACAAAGGAGAATTAAAACTCTAGAGGCAGTAGAAGAGCAGAAGAGCGTGGGCTGTGAGGGGTTTGAGAGTCAGCCTAAGGCTCTGGCATTTGCTTTTCATGATTTATTCCAGTGGCCCAGGGAACTATACTGCATGGTTTGGGTTTTCTTTTTGGTTTTCAAACACTGAGTCTGTTATTATAAATGACTTCAGCATATGAGTGCTTCCTCTTCATCTTACTTAGATTGTGAGATGCAGCGTAATTTATTTAAGAAAAGTGCTTACCCCAAAGCAATAAACATCCTTTTAGTGTCTGATACACTGTTTAAATGTCTACTTGATATTTTCATAATGTACAAAGCATCAAGGAAAAGGCATTTTGGTACTGAATGTGTCTGGTCCTCCCTCAAGGCTATCCAAACAACAGATTATAACTGCCATCAGCATTGGCCTAGAATGTCATGGAAGAATTTATTACATGCTACAGATGTACTTTTCAGAAAGAGCTAGCAAATGATTCTGTCCTTGCTCAACACTGTGAAATACTAAGCATTTAGCTCTCAAAAACACCAACTTACTTCAACAGACCAGGAGCAGTCAAGTATATAAACAATGAGTCCTTCTAGATATCAAGATCTTTCCTTTAAAAGTGAATTATCAGTCCATCTCCCCTGCACATCATCGCTTGTTTTCCTGGAAGTTAAGTTCTGTTGTATGGATATTGCTTAGAGGTTGCTTTGCCACAGCTTTTGAGACTTTACATGACACGAGGGGGCAAGGGGGAATGGGCATTACTCTAAGGGGAAACACTACACCAAAAATAGGAAAGAGAAAGATAGCCATGATTCTTGTTTTGTTTTGTAAGTCATTTAAAGAAAGGAAGGGAGGGAGGGAGGGAGGGAGGGAGAGAGAGAGAGAGAGAGAGAGAGAGAGAGAGAGAGAGAGAGAGAAAGAAAGAGAAGTTCTAGTTAGCCCAGACCTCTTTAGTGCTAATCGGAAGTGACAAAGTAACCTTTATATTAACTCCATTTGTAACTCATGTCCATCTAGCTACTCGCAGCAATTCTACTGAACAAAATCATAGTGCTGGGGGGGTAAAAAGAACAAAACTATAGATCTGTGGTAGGTGATGGGGTTGGGGCTCTGCCTTCTGCTTCAGTATGTGACGGGTTAGCAGTTACATCTGCAAGAATGGAAATAACGTCTATGCCGCCAAACTCGTTTTGACAAAATTCTCCAAAATATGAGGTTTGGCTTAGACAGAAAGATAGCCAATGGATACATCTCTGCTCATTTTAACACTGGCTTCTGTCTAGAGCAGCCGTACTGCTAATAACTGCGAAATAGCAAGAAAAATCACATGTATTCTAACAAAGATCCAGCTAAGGATTCTTCCTCTCCCAACTCCCTCCTATTCTTCTCCTCCACTCTCCTTCTCACCTTCCTCTTCTTCACCCTGACGTCTCCCCGTGTTGGTACCCTGGACCTCAGAAACATAGGACAAGCCAGTGCTATGGAGAATTCATGGAAAATGCTGGGACCTCGATGTCCAGTCACACCTGCCTTGTTCTTGTTCCTAGGAACCACGTTCTGGTTGTTTGCTGCCCGTTTGCCTTTCTAAATTATTATTTGCTTCAATCATCCATTTAGCATGACTTCATAGTGTCTTAACTTCCTTTGGCAAATTTTCACATATACATTACTTTTTATTCTTTTTAAAGATGTTTTCTTATTCATAATTGAATGTGTGTGTGTGTGTGTGTGTGTGTTTTCATGCGGGTATTTGCATACGAGTGAAGGTGCCCTTGGAGGCCTTGAGCTGGGATGGCACGCCACGGTTGTGAACTGCTTGACATAGGCCGGGGACTGAACAGGTGCCTCTGAAAGAGTAGCAAATGCTCTTAACTGCTGAGCCATCAATCCAGCCACTGCTATTCCATCACCCGGATAACAAAATTTAAAGAATTATTTATGAACCATCAATAATAAATTTGACCCAAAAAGGAGATATTATTGAAAGTGTGACTGAATCATGAAAACTAGAGCAACTAAGCCAAGGGAAATAGGGGTGAATCCTGGAAGCCTGGCTTCTCTACTGTTCATACCTCTTTATTCTCCATAATAAAAGCATCTAGATATCTAGAACTTACTGAAGCTTCCAGAAAATTAAAAAAAAAAAACTCTTGTCTAAAAGTCAATTTTTTGGCTTGAGAGGAGGCATGATGAATCCATGCCTTCTGCTTCAGTTTGTGATGGGTTAGCAGTTACATCTGCAAGAATGGAAATAACATCTATGCTAAGGAGACCTGAAAATGGAATGGATGATTCTTACAGTGGGGATTTAACAAGCATATATGGTGTAGCTAAACAACTGTGCAGCAAGTGGTTTTGGCACACTCCTTTAATCTCAACACTTGGGAAACAGAGGCAGGCCTCTCTCTGTGAGTTTGAGTCCAGCCTGGTCTACAGAATGAATTACAGGACAGTCCAGGCTCCATACAAAAACGCTGTCTCAAAAAGCCAGAAAAAGCAAAAAAAAAAAAAAAAAAAAAAAAAAAAAAAAAAAAAAAAAAAAAAAAAAACACAAAAAGGATTTGTGCATGCCTGTCATCACCAGACTTAGAAATAAAAGGCCTTGAATGGATTGATTCAAGAACAGTCTGAGCTTCTGATTTAGCCTCTCTCCTTCCCCACACCCAATAGAGCAGAAAATAGCAAAATAACTCCAATATCTCAGTGGAAACTGGTAAAAATATTCTTTTGAAAGTTTGTACTGAACATCAATCTCTCATTTCCAGGCAACATACTAGAAAGAAAGGCGGGTGCAAAGAAAGGAGAGTCGAGGAAGGGGAGAAGAGACGGGAGAAAAGAGAAAGGGGGACGAGAACCCCGAATCTTCTAGAGCCTAAAACGAAATGACCAGTTTGTAAGACTCAGCTAGAAGAGACCCAACCGCAGTCACTAAACACTGAGCCTCCATAGCTCCCTGAAAAGCTGCCAGTTTGCTCTGTGGTGAGGAAGGAAGGCTGAGTGTGTGCAACAGCTTCTGGCGGGAGGCTTCCAGCTGTTGGCTAGCGTACTAGGTGATGGATGTGCATGAGCAATTCCCTTAAACAACACATTTTCTGCCAAGTACAAACACACTGGAAGCTCATCCAAAAACTCCTTGGCAATTAAAGTTGCAAGAAAGTGGTCACTCTGTCCATCCACCTCCCTTACAAAAAGGTGACCCTGTTCTTGGCAGCCACCGCCACCCACGAGCCACAGAAGAACACCTTCATCGTCCTGCTCCTTGCCTTAGCTTCACAGCTCATTGAAAACCCTGCTTTATTACACAGGCAAAAGCTTTCCGAGAAGGATGGGGATGTGGCAATTGTACTCTTTCTGACGCTTTCTTCTGTTCTCCCTTCCTTAAAACAATAATAATACCACCACATCCACAAAAAGAAGAGAGAAGAAAAGACCTTCTCAGATCCAGACTCCTTTCCCTTGTCTCCAGACAAGCAACAGTCAGGAATAGGTAGCGGACCAGTGCCTTGGCCAGCGCCATCTGGTACCTGGCCTCTTTGAGTCAGCTCAAAGGTGAGAGGGGCGGCTTCGAAGGACACACTCAAGAGCGGGTGTGAGTCAGGTCCTCTGCCGCTTTCAGCCTTTCTCCCCAAATTCTTCGTTTGTTCATCACGTCAGGAGTGTTTAGTGACCTACTCCTGGCCTTTGGGATTACAGAAGCCACAAAGCCTGCCAGTTTGGTTCTTTTCCTCTTCCCCACCTCCCGGCCGAGGGGAGGCAACTCGGCTCTGTGACCAGCAGGGGCCGCTGTTCGCTCGGAACAGCCGCCGGGCCACCGCGGCGGCCCGCGCCTCCCACGGCACCTCCGGCCCAACCCGCCAAGTTCCAAGAGCTCCCAGTCGAGCAAGCGCCGGGAACGAGCGCTGCCCGGGCAGCACACAGAGCACACGAGCCAGCTTGCGGCGCGTCCTGGAGAGGTTCCTGCGATACTCACAGCCCGGGGACTTTGAAAGGGAAACCGAGAAGCCCCGCACGCACAAGTGCGCCAGCCAGCGCTCCGTCCAGCACCTGTTCCTCCCGTGCCACCGCCACCCGGGTCGCCACCCCTCCGATTCTCGCCTCCCAGGCTCCCGCTTGTTCCCGGGATGAATTCAGTGCTGGGCAACCAGACCGATGTGGCCGGCCTCTTTCTGGCCAACAGCAGCGAGGCGCTGGAGCGCGCCGTGCGCTGCTGCACACAGGCGTCGGTGGTGACCGACGATGGCTTCGCCGAGGGTGGCCCCGACGAGCGTAGCCTGTACATCATGCGCGTGGTGCAGATCGCAGTCATGTGCGTGCTCTCGCTCACCGTGGTCTTCGGCATCTTCTTCCTTGGCTGCAACCTGCTCATCAAATCCGAAGGCATGATCAACTTCCTAGTGAAGGACCGGAGGCCGTCTAAAGAGGTTGAGGCAGTGGTGGTGGGACCCTACTGAGTGGCCCTTGGGTCCCCCACGGCTGGTGCTCCTGGCACCTCCAGTATTCTGCCAGCCGCGATGTACCCCTCACCATCAGAGACCGAGCAAAGCAAACCTGTCGGAGTCAGTTTTTTCTCTAGACTTCTGCCTTTGGGGGAAAAAGTGACCCATTTCTGATCGCTCTCCGTAAAGGCCCCAAACAAGCCTTCAGACCAGGAACGTCCAGACTTTGGGACTCAGCAGCAGGTGGCAAAAGAGGGCGATTAGGGCGCAGGACTTTGGGAGCGGCTTCTTGCCTGAGATGCGGGGGAGATGGACCTGGAGAAGGCCCCTTTCCACCTGCAGGTGGGCCCAGCACTGGGGACAGCTGGAGGGGCCGAGCAAGGTGGGGGGTGGGAGTGGGGGGTATACCCAGCGGCACCAGTAGCCGGAAAAGTGACCTGTTTATACTGCCCGTTGTAGACCCAATGACAACATATATGCGTGTGGGTTTTGCGACCTGCGGTGAGAGCAGAACTTTGATCAGTAGTCGTAACCTGTGGTTTTAAGAGATCTGTGTTAGTTTGCTTGAATACAAATATTTGATAAGTCTTTTATGCCCTACTGGCCTGTTTGCCTGCCTGCCGGTTAGGTTAGAGTTTTTGTCATCCTGGGAGAAGGGGTGGGGGGAGGGGAGCCTGAGACTGTGAATGGGGTGAGTGCTTTCTTTTAATGCATTTCCAGCTGGGTCTTTTTGGGGGGCTGGCGCTCCAGCTAAGCCCGGGACAAAGATCCAGAGTAGAATTCATAGCTCGTGTCTGCACGGTTTACTCCACAAAAGTGCTCTTGATATCCGTGACACCATTTGACTTTTTCTTATTTAACATTTCCTTAATAAATGCAACATTTAAGTGTTTTGTTTCTGGCCTCCTGGTAGTCATTCTATTCTCCCGGCGAAGGGGAAAGTAGGCTGCGCAGTCTGGGTCCCGGCCAGGAGGCTTCTCCTTGCAGGAGCTGCGATTCTACTCCATAGATCCATAGATCCGCGGAGGAAAGGAGGGGCCCGACAGAGTGCACAGGGATTTGAGACACACACCAAGCCCCAGGCACAAAAACAAACAAACAAACAAAAAAATCTCTCTAAAACAGCGGCCTTTGTTTTCTCCCATATTTACGACTTTAAATTTCACTTTGTCTTGGATGTCAGGTAGGTCCCTGCGGGAAGATTACACTTCGAGATCACACTTCCGAACCAGGCTCCTCCGGGAACTCTAGGTTACCCAGCTAATGAAAGGAGAAGACGGCCAAGCCAGCCCTTAGGGAGGGCTTCTTTCCCCAGACCCACGTCAGCAGGATGGCATAGGGATGCTATTCCAGAAAAAGACAGATTCCGAGTAAAAGTAGCTGCCCAACTTCGAAATCCTCAGTAAATAGAATAAACCATTGTGTCCAAACTAGGAGGTATTTTTTGTCTTTGTCGTATTACGTTTTATGGAGAAAGGAATCAGATAAGATACCAACGAAGAAATGACAATCGTTTGAGGTGAGGCGTTAATCCCACAATGGATATATATATATATATCCATATATATATGATATATATGGATATATATATGCTTCACATTATATCCCGTAAATATATGCAATCCATCAATCAACTTAAAGAAGGAGAGAGAGAGAGAGAGAGAGAGAGAGAGAGAGAGAGAGAGAGAGAGAGAGAGAGAGAGAGGAAAGGGAGAGAGATGAACATTTGCCTGCTTCTTTAGTCAGCTATTAGTTCTGGACTAGGAAAAGGGCTCAAAGGACTTAGCCCAGTCCTGATACTCAGTACTACCACAAGCCACACTTGAAAGTTTGGGCTGGAACAGCTACAGACAGGGTCTGCACACACCTTTAGGGCACAGAAATTGTAGGCCCTGTTGAAAGAAGGGCTAGAAAACAACCCTAAGGTTCCAATAGTTGAAGTTTAACTTGGTCAAAGGTTTGAGCAGTTTTTCTTTCTGTCTTATTTTCTACGAGGATGCTGTAACAGTGAGGGAAAAAAAGTAAAGACATTGCAATAGTAACTGTAAAAGTACCATGAAATGCTATGAAATGTCCCATATTTATAGAGAGAAACGGCACACAAACATGGCCTATGCCTCAGAGGGCTGGGTTTTACTCAGAGTTACCCTTACTAGGAATTATAGCCTAGTGTTTGGGGAGGGGGTTAATGTCAATGGTGTCAAACTTGAGTGAACACTCACACACACACACACACACACACACACACACTTTCTCTCTCTCTCTTCTCTCTGTTTCTCACTCTCCCTTTCTCTCTCTCACACACACACATTTTCTCTCTCACACATACACACAAATGCCCTCCCTCCCTCCCTCCCTCCCTCCCTCTCTCTCTCTCTATCTCTCTCTCACACACACACACACAGAGAGAGAGAGAGAGAGAGAGAGAGAGAGAGATTGGAAGTTTGGGCCTGTTTTGTCTTTTCAGCAGGGAAGGTTTGCTTGTTTCTCTTCTCGAGTGGGGAGCAGTCGGGTTGCCCGTCAACAGGTAGCCACGCTGAATCACGGGAAACAGTGTGCAGTTCAGTAGTGTGTGGGAGAAGAGATGAGATGTTCTATTTTGTCGACAGTTTCTGTGGCACAGACATAGTCTGCCGCCTCCATGTTTCAGAGAAAACAAAACAGCATCATGATTCTACCCTGTAAGAAGCCAGACACTGAACTGTAACTCTTGTGTGGGTCTGTCCTGTGGATTTACGAGCCCACCCGCAGGCTCCGTGCACTGGAGATAGTGATTTGTCTTAAAAACACATCTACTAGACTCACTAGGAATCTTTCCTTATCCTCTGATGTGTCTGGCTTGCACGATCACAGTTAGCTCCAGAGAGTGGGCAAAAATTAACCCTACAAGCCAATCTGAAACTGTTCATTTGAAACAGGGAGTCATTGATAACAAAAGTCTAACAAACTGAGGAAAACAGTCTTAGGCAACGGAAGCTCTCCAGTATACCTCCAACTTCACCTTCTTAGTCTTTCTTCACCTCTCTTACATCTTCCCAGCACCTCAGAAGTAAAACATGCACTTTCATCTCCCCATCCACCTTTGCTCCCGCCTCTGCAGAAATTGTGATTGGGAGATAGAGCAGAACCTGTACAGGTTAGTCCTTGTGCAGAAAAGCTACAGAAGCGTAGGGCTGGACTCTGTGATCAATGTACTGCAGGGAAAGGCAGTCTGAAATACAGAGCCCTAGGGGCAGTTTCATAAAAGCAACCCTTCTCTCCAGGTCACACCCATTTGTTACTTAGAGAGATGCCAAGTGGTTCTGGTTTTTATAGGTGAAGCGAGAGGCTTTTTACACACCCCCTTCCCTGGTGACCACACAGCAACCGCTTCTCCAAGTCCACACTGCTCCTTCTGCTCTATCTTTGAATCTCTGTGTTTTTTTATTTGAACAAACTCGTGAAATAAAACTTTTAATCCTGCCCAGAGTTTATGGAGTGTTTTGCTTTTCTCCCCAACAAGCTTCCAGGAAAGTCGGTTTTAAACTCCATTCCCCATTTTACCTAAGGAATTGATGCTAGCCTAAAGAGACTGGGAGTCAAGTGGGTAAATACAGACACCAAAGTCTGTGCTCCCATGTTTACATCTACCATGGGGTCAGTAGGGTGGAAATAATGATTCGTGTAGCGGATTTCTGTAAAGAGCTTCCTTGATCTGGTCAGCCCCAGAGGGACTCCTCTGGTTAGTCCCGAAGCCTTTCTTGACCAACAGCCCAGAGGAAGCCGAGGTTTTCATGAAAGGCAGCTGACAGGTGAGCAGAATTTCAGGCTAGAGAGATAGCCACTCATGCCTCGAAACTGGGTGGCCTCCGCAGGATCAGTCTCTCCTAGTCAATACATTTTATTTTTTTTCTAAGATCTGAAAATGGATCAGAAACTTAAGGGCTAGTCACCTAGAGGGAATTCAAACTAAAGGTAACCCTGTCATCTTGAATCTGAAGTTGCAGTTACTCCTCATAGATACTCTGCTATGGCTGATTCAAGATCTGCTTGGCTTCTCCGTGGCCCTGAGTCAAACTTGTGTCTCCCTATGACATTCAAGGAAGGCCACTTGCTAGACAGTAGAATTCTGGGATTACATTGCTCTCTAACTGGCTGGGTGGCCATTGAGGATGGTTGATTCTAAAGGAGTATTTCAATTCTATTGAATTAATATGCTAACATTTTCAGGGTATTTTATAAATCTCTGCAACACATCTTAAAAATGCATCTTGTCTTCTAGTCTTGGCATTTTTCAGACCTTTTTTTTTTTCTTCACAAAAACCAAAGGCATATCCACTTGTGTCATTTTATTTTAAATAATCCAACCAAAATTCAGATAGCTCACCAGATCTAGTCACCACAGTATATTAACACTGGATAAGAAAAGAAAGCCCCATGAACTGGGAAGCAAGAGGTTCTTATAAGTACTCATTCAAATGAGTATACAACGTTTCTAATACAAACTCCCTGTGTATTAAAAAGAAATTAACTGCAGGTTTTTCTCCCACAAAACAATTCTTCCTTTGAGCTTGGACAACAACATACAACAGCTGTTTCAAATGCAGTATCCTTAGTCCTGACGTATATATATTTGTCATTTTGGGGTGGGGTTGCAATGCCAGGAAAGAATTCCAGGTTTCGGTTTGTTCAAGATCTAAACCTAGTTCAAAACTCTACTGAAGCAGCAAGTCAACAGCAATCTCCAAAACAGGAATCAATGCATCTTTTATCCACCTGCCAAATCCCATTTAGATATGTGCACAAAAGCTCAAATGGGATATGTTTTAAAGTCCGCTCCAGCAGTAATTGATTTCTAGCATCTGCATTTAAATGCTTGGTGGCTATTTGTTTTCATGATCTGCTTCACATTTTAGGTATTTTTTTTTTGTATTCTTATGCATGTCTCAGATGTTGAAAGTCCAGTATGAATTTTATAACAACATCTCTGATTTTAAAATTCTTGGCCAGCTGAACACTCTGAGGAAATTAAAATATATAGTTATTTAAATCACACATTAACAGACATGGTGATAATTTTATAAACTGGATTAATAGTCACATTTTGTTTTCTTTATTTTCAATATGTTTGAGGAAGGAGCAATATTTGAGCCAAAGCTGCAATGAAGACTGTTGTGAGGATAACCAGACACATTTGCAAATGGTAGCTTGCTTCCTAATCCAAATAGCAGTGGCCACATGTGAGAATAACATGTCTTATTTTCACGTATTCAACTATGTGCTTTTGCAAGAGTAATGGGTCGTTTTCTCCCCTGAAGCTTTTGCTAATGCTTGCTGCTGCAATATTTCTGAGTGGGTGACTGTGAGCATAGAGTGATCA